TTCCCTCCAACATATCTTTTCACGAGTTCTTCTCTATGGTAGGCATAAAGATGAGTTAGAGTTCTCTATATTCATATCCTGATATGGAAAAGTGAGTTTTGATCAACAATTATAAAAGGTTCTGGAACGTGCTTTCAGATGGCAGTCCGGAAATGTGTTTGCTTGGTGTCTAGGCACTTTTCCTACTCTGACCTTTGAGAAGTTGCCATGGATGAGCCTGCTCTAAAACCATGCACCTACCTGTGCTTGTTTCATCATAAGACCACCAAGACCCCGAAAGCAGCACTAACCTGAAATGTTCTCTATCTGCAGCATATACTGAAAAAATGATTTAATTCATTTGGAGAACAGTTTTATGGATATTTTTGTGCTCATTGTGTGTGTGTGTGTGTGTGTATGTGTGTGTGTGTGTGTGTATGTGTATGTGTTTGTGTATGTGTATGTGTGTGCTCCTCAGGATCAAACCCATGGCTTCTCACATGCTAGACAGCACTGTACCACTGATCTATACCTCTAGCCATGTGGTCAAATTGTTGATCTTTTGAAAGGATAAAACATTATTCATGGAGGTTATATATGTACTTATATTAAAATTTAGATATTGTTATTTAAATATACATGTTTTCATTTACATAATTTGACTATGCTATCCAGCTCTGTTGTAGAAAAGAATAGAGGGCTCTGATGATAAGCTGCTGTTTTCTGCTTCAATGTAGGTGTCAGATCCTTTACACAACCTTGTTGTTGTTATTGTGTGTGTATGTGTGTGTGTGTGTGTGTGTGTGTGTGTGTTATGAGGGCTTTAGCTTAGCACCTGGAACTCTCCCTTCACTTTTGCACTCAAGGCTGGCATTCTTCCACTTGAGCAGAGCTCCACTTTCGGCTTATTTTTCGTTAATTGGAGCTATCCCACAAAGTTTCCTGCCTGAGCTGGCTTTGACCTGACCTCTGAGAATCAGAGCTCAGACTCCTGAGTAACTAGGAGTACAACCGTGAGCCACCGGCACCCACCCCTTGTTTTTATTTAATTTTTCTTACGAAAGACTTTTGCTGAATGAACATTAAGTTGCTATCGTACCGAGAATCATTTTGCTTTGATGGGAGAGAGCCAGGATTGATGATTTACTAATGCCAAGTATGACTGCATAAAGCTTTATTAAACAGGGCGTGTCTTGGTTGCAAGTTTTAATTTTTATTTTGGATTTGTGGGTTTCAAGATATTGTCAGAAAGCAGGATGCTTATTACCTAGCAATTCACATAGCCAGTTTTTGTCTAGTCGAGATGAAATTTGGCAGTTATGACAGAATAAATGGAATAGAAATTGATTTTAAAAGTTAAAATGGATGCATTTCATATTAATGGAATTGTTCATAATAGCAATTGTAAGTGTTTCCTTTGTGAGAAGAATTTAAGGGACAGTGTTTACTGAGATGAAGTGCTGTGTCTCCCTGTGTGCTGTTTTTCTTCGTATCTCAATCCATTTCTTACGAGGAAGGCTGTGAGGCTCATTTCTCTACACTCTTTTTCTTCTAGATTCCTCAGAGCTCAGTCTTTGGTTCTCTTGTCTCTGATATTCTTCCAGGTATTCTGCATGGACGTGTGTGTGTGTGTGTGTGTGTGTGTGTGTGTGTGTACTGTAGCTTTAAACTCATGGACATGTGTGTGTGTGTGTGTGTGTGTGTGTGGTGTGTGGTGTGTGTGTGTGTGTGTGTGTGTGTGTGTGTGTGTGTGTGTGTGTTGGTACTGTAGCTTTAAACTCAGGGCCTGGCCACTGCCTCTTTGGTTTTTTACTCAAAGCTGGTCTCTTGCCACTTGAATCAGACCTCAACATCTGGCTTTTTGGTGGTTAATTGGACATAAGAATTGATGGACTTTTCTGCCCAAGTTGGCTTTGAACCATGATCCTCAGATCTCATCCTCCTGAGTAGCCAGGATTACATGTGTGAGCCACCAGCGCCAGGCAAAACCCCAACCTTTCCTCCTGGCTCCAGAAGACCAATTAGGTTTCAGAGACATCTCAAGTGAACACACTGAGAATTGGATTTATGATATCCAATAAATACTTAATTTGCTTTCAGTTCCCTACTTTCTGGCACCTTCTATCCATGTACTCAAAAACACATCCTGGGCTTCCTTCTTCAAAGTTTCTCTCATTTGCAAAGCTGTCAGCCTTCTTTGCTCATTTTCCTGACTTTTTTTTCAGACCTGCTCATCTTCTTTCTGCAGGTCACTGAGCTGCTGCAAGCTTTTTTTTCTTTCTTTGCTTTACTTGTTTCAGTTTTCTCTCCCTTTTAATGTTTAATGCTTGAAATTTAGTTTTCCTAAGGCTTTTAAAGGGATAGCCAGCTCTGGCTGGCTTTGAATCATGATCCTCAGGTCTCAGCCTTCTGAGTAGTTAGGATTACAGGCGTGAGCTGCTGGTGCCCAGCATTTTTTTTTTTTTCTAATGGGAAATAATGGCATTTAGAATAACCACAGTTTATAGTAACTTATTTAGAATCACTTATTTTGCTTAGGATTCAGAATGGAAGATGCAGATCCAAACACCTAGGTAAGGTCAGGGGTAAGAAGTTAAGAACTTTTGGCGCTCTGTCACACAGTAGATGGCTATAGCTGTCAAACTGGTAATGTGCTGTATACTTTAGAGAGTGAGGAGAAAGGACTTGGACTGCTTCTTTCATCATAAAGAAAGAGTAAATTTTTTAAGGAGTTAGATATGTTTGTCCTGATTTAAGTAACAGATTAAAACGTACACATATCAAAATTTCACACAATACCCTTTAAATAACATGTATAAAAGGCCAACAAAAGCCAGAACCAAACTTCCCTGACTATCTGACTAGCCTGCATATATATATATATATATAGTGTGTGTGTGTGTGTGTGTGGGTGGGTGTGTGTGTGCATGTGGGTATGTCTGTCCTCTGGTAATAGGGCTTGAATTCAAGGCTTTGTGCTTAACCTTGCTTTTTCACTCATGGCTGAAGTTCTACTACTTGAGTCATACTTCCTGTTCCACTCTGGCATTTTGCTGGGTAATTAGGGATAAGAATCTATTGGATTTTTTTTGGGGGGGTGCCTAGCTTCAAACCTCAATCCTCATATCTCAGCCTCCTGAGTAGCTAGGATTACAGTGTGAGCCACCACTGCCCAGAAACCAGCAAGTATTTTTAATTTATAATTTTATTGTTGTTATTAAGGTACTGTACCAGAGGTATTATCATTTCATAAGTCAGGTAATGCAAACATTTCTTTTTTGGACAATGTCACCCCTTCCTTTGCTTTTTTCCAATTTCCTCCTCTTGTCCCTGCCCACAGGTTACATAGTTCCTTTTCTATATAGTGTATACTGAATATCATTTGTTCATCCTTCCTCCCTCCCTTCATGCAATCTTCTTTGCTGCCTCCTAAAAAGACAAAACAAGCAACAATAAAAGCAAAAACAAACCATCATCATCACCACCACCACCACCAGAACTCATGTTTCCATTTCCTGGAATTCATTTTGATAAACAGTGTTTTAAATGTTCAGAGGAGTTACACCTTAGGGTTACACCAAGGGAATCCTCCTTTAGTCTGACTGTATGTGAATGCCTAGAGTCCTGTAAAAGATATCCTGTCTAGTTGTGTTTGTATTTCACTTCCACATATGAGAGAAACGTGTGGTTTGCCTCTGAGCTTGCCTTACCTCATTTACTATGATTTGTTATAGGTCCATCCATTTCCCAACAAATGACATAATCTTATTCATTCCAAAGGATGAGTAAAATTCCATTATGTATAAGTACCACATTGTTTTGATCCATTCATCTTTTTTTTTTTTTTTTTGGTCAGTCCTGGGACTTGAACTCTGGGCCTGGGCATTGTCCCTGAGCTCTTTAGCTCAAGGCGAGCACTCTATCACTTGCTAATTGGTTGTTAATTGGAGATAGGGGTCTCATGGACTTTCCTGCCCCAGATGACTTTGAACTGTGATCCTCAGATCTCAACATCCTGAGTAGCTAGGATTATAGGTGTAAGCCATCAGCACCCAGCAATCCACTTATCTTTTATAGGGCATGTAGGCTGTTTCCACAATGTGGCTATTGTGAACATAGATGTACAAGTGTCTTTACTATATCCTGTCTTGTAATGTTCTGGGCAGATGCTCAAGAATGATATGGCTGGGTCATAGGAAATTTCTATGTTTAGTTTTTTTGAGGAACCTCCCAACAGCCTTCCAGAGTGGTTGTACTAGTTCACATTCCTACAAACAATACAATTGGGCTCCTTTTCTCTGACATCCCAGCCAGTATTTGCTGTTCAAATATTTGATGTTGGCCAATCTAACTGGGGTGTGATAGAATCTCAGAATTGTTTTGATTTGCCATTTCTCTATGGCCAGGGATGTTGAGCATTTCCTCATGTGTTTATTTGCCATTCTTTATGTTCTAAGTAGTCTGTCTTAAGTGCCTTTGCCCATTTATTGATTGGTTTATTACAGTCATGGGGGATAATGTCTTAAACCCCTTGTATATTTTGGATAGTAGGCCTTGGTTGAATGTATCCAGCAATTTTTTTTTTTTTGGTCAGTCATGGGGCTTGAACTCTGGGCTTGGGTGCTGTCCCTCAGCTCTTCAGTTCAAGGCTAGTGCTCTACCACTTGAGCCACAGCGCCACTTCCAATTTTCTGGTGTTTTATTGGAGATTTCCTGCCCGGGCTGGCTTTGAACTGTGATCCTCAGATCTCAGCCTCCTGAGTAGCTAGGATTACAGGCGGGAGCCACTGGTACCCGGCTCCAGCAAATATTTTTAAGTGAATGTAACAAACTATTAAAGAATTCCACATAATTCATGCATGTGTACATCTGAATGAATTTTGAAAATATGACTTTAGTAGATGGCTTTTGAATGTGTTTGTGGATAATATCAAGACAGTGATTGCTCCTAATAAATCTTAAGATATTGTGTAACTTTTGTCTCCTTAAAAATATTGTCTACCACTTATATATTTTGACAGGATGTTTCTTCTGGTGGGAGCTCCCAAAGCCAACACTACCCAGCCAGGGATTGTAGAAGGAGGCCAAGTGCTCAAATGTGACTGGTCTTATAGCCGTCGCTGTCAGCCCATTGAATTTGATTCAACAGGTAAGTGTTTCAGCTTTGCTTCTGTCTCTTAATTCACATTAATTTGATTAAAAAATTAAGTTCAGGAACGTAATGAATATAATCACCTCTCATCCATCAAGAAAGTTATATAAGACAGAGGACAAGGGGGGGACCAATGCAACAGCAATATACACAAGACAATATCTTGGAAATGATCTATACAACTTGGGGGAAAGGTGGGGGGAAGGGAAAGTAGGAGAAAAATCAGGGGAAGGGGTAACAAGTTTGACAAGAAATGTACTTGATACCTTACCTCTGTAACTATAACCCCTCTGTACATCACCTTGACAATTAAAAAAGTTATAGAAAAGATATTTGAGCTGGTCATTAGCTTATGCCTGAAATTCTAGCTGTTCAAGAGGCTGAGGTCTGAGGATCTTGGTTTAAAGTTATCCCAGATAGAAAAGACTGTGAGACTCCATCTCTAAATAACTAGCAAAATGCTGGGTGGGAGGCGTGACTCATGTGGTAAAGTACCAGGTATGAGTAAACAAACATGCTGAGACAGAGTGCTAGGCTAGTGCTTGTCCCAGAGTTCAAGTCCTGGTGCCAAAAAAGCACACAAAAAGATACTGGTTTATATGATTGTTCCTTCAGCCTTCTGTCATAAGAAAGCATTAAAAATACTCCACATTTCTGTTGCTTTGGACATCTTCCATTTTAAAAAGATAATGTCAGCATGTACAAATCTGGGGAAAATCTGTTAAGATATTTTTGCGTTTGTTCTCAGAAGAAGTTCATAGGAACAGCAAAGCTTGTGTTGTTTTTCTGTCAGCTAAATTGAAACATGGCTCACTGACCACGCAGATCAACTCTATAATCGTGAATACAGCTAGGCATTGGGTTGTACTACAAAAACCAGTTGAAAAAAAAAAAAACAGTTGAGGAATCTTTTGTATTCATATAGGTTTAGAAGACTTAACAAAAGCCCTTAATTGAAAATTTATTGGGAAAATTATGTGACATGTTTCCGATAACTAGGTCATTTTATTCCCAGATATCTATGTATGTTAATGAAGGCAAGATTGTTAGACAAAAATAGCTTTTAAGGATGATGAGAAAGAATTTATGTTTTGTATTTATACCAGTGAAATAAAATATGACAATCTTCTACATATTCACATTGCTGTATTTATATATCTGTATATATATATATATATATATATATATATATTTGTGGAAGTGTAGAGGATCAGCAAAGAAATAATGTAATATTTCTTCTAGTATAATAGTTTTGTAAAAAAGAAAAAAAAAGATTCTGTTTTATTGGCTTTCACCGAGTGCTTTCAGATAAGCCTGAATAAAAAGAATCCCCTATTCTATGCCATTATTTCCTGTTAGCTGTAAAATGTATTATTTCTGGGAACTGAATAGAAATCACCCAGTGAACTGTTCCATTTGACCTGAGGGGAACGCCATGATGACTCTAGTCCCAGCTGTTAATTAGAACCAGGTCACTGGTTTTAGGCTCCCCCACCCCATTTTAAGCCATCTATATTAGGCTCTACTGGGTTTTTCTCATATATAAGTAATACTTGGAAAATCCCGAGTTTGTATACAGGCTCACTTTTTCCAGAAATGGAGAAATGCCTGCTAATCAGAATGTGATAGGCCATTCAGAATATTATGAGTCAGAGCATTTATCTTTGAACAAAATATCAATAGTAAAATATAAATCATAATAAAATGTAGTTCAGTTTTGACAAATGGAACTGTTCAGATATATGTCTGTATTTAATACCATAATTTTTTCCATTTTTTTATTGTGAAAATCCCGTACAGAGGGGTTACAATTACATGGGCAGGATAATAATACTATAGTTAGTTGAAAGATCATATATTGTTGGTGTTTTAAATTATTTTGGAAATTTGGCTTTAGATAATTCGGTGTTTATTTTACTAGCATGTATCTTCTTTTACATGATTGTAAAAATTTCAGTCATTGTGAAGGGCAGATAGCATCTATAATATTGATTTGCATTCTTTTTAATAGCAGTTAGAAGGGTATTTGGAAGGCATAGATATTCCTTTTGTGACTTGCTTCCCACATGTATTACTATATTTCTGTTTTTTAAAATGAATCTCAAATGAGGGTACAGTAGGCTTTCATGTTTAGGACAGAATCCAGAATCACGCTTGATGTGAATCTGTGGGCAAGTGAAAATGTTCTGTTTCTTTTTACCTTGCTGCTAACTTGCCCTGTTCCATGCCACATTGTCTCTGTCTGACCTGCGGCCCCAGTTTTCAGAACTGGCCAGGAGGTGAGTGGTGGTGGTGGTGGTGGCATTCTTAGGAATGAGATGGAGCACATATATAGTTTGTTCACTAGGAATAGTGCAGGCAGTCCGTGATCTATAGTGTGCTAGCACTAGTTAAAATTGGCCCCTGGTCCTGAGGTAATTGGTTTATAGGGCCCAGAGGCAGAGGGCTAAGTAGGGAAAGCCATGTGCCAGGTCAGCACCACATGAACAGAAAAAGCCAGAAGTGGCACTGTGGCTCAAGTGGTAGAATGCTAGCCTTGAGCTGAAGAGCTGAGGGACAGCACCTAGGCCCTGAGTTCAAGCCCCACGACCGACAAAAAAGAAAAGAAAAAAAAAGGAAAATTAATTGGAGAACAAGAGAGCTGGTTACATGGTTCAAACAGTAGAGTCCCTCTCTAGCAAGTGTGGGACCCTAAATTCAATCCCCATATCATCACAAAGAAAAGTATAATGCTCACATACCAGAAACTTGAAACATGTTTTGCCAGAGTGAGGAAGTCAAGTGAGAGAAGGGGACAGCTGAATGAAAAGGGAGATGGGGAACTGGGAGGGGGAAAACACAATCATGATATTCAATGTACATCTGTGAGAATATGTTCAGATGTGAAAATAGAACCAGGTAATTTGAGGGGATAGGAAGGTCTGGGAGAGATGGAGGAGAACAATATAGGAGGTGACATTGACATACTGTACTCATAAACTGACATGTTGAATTGAAATACTGTAATTCCTTACTGATAGTACATAAAAAGAAACAGTGTTACATAATCATAAAACCAAATTGAGGCTTGCTTCCTCAGCCATCAGTGTATGTTTTAGTGCACATCACAAGCCACCATGAAATGGCTTGCTAATACATTATATATACTAGGTACGGCTTGGTAAATAATAAAATTAGTCCATTAATTGTTGATTCGCCTATCAGATAAATGGTGCATTTGTAAAGAATTTTTCGATCACCCTGTTTTCTAACTAGAGTGAACAAATGCCTTTTTTCTCTTATTCTTTTTCTTCTTTTGAAAGACCTTAAGTTCTTAGTACCCTGTACAAAAATACTTCATTTTTTTCTTTCTTTTTCTTTTTCACAAATCAAGGGCCTACCATTGAGCTACACTACTATAGTATCATAGTCTTTTGCTTCTTAGTTGATAAGCAGCTTTCAAAGGAAGGAGGCATATACTTGGCCAGTCAGTTACTGCCAAAGAAGCACTGCAAGTCTATTCTGTCAAGGGGCAGAGTGAGTCAGAGGTCATGCTAGTGGTGCTGTTCCTTATTCAGCAACAGCACATTCAGTTTCCACTGTAGGAAAGTCTTCTATGAGCTTCTCTTGGTTCTTGCCACTTTTCCATTTTGTTCGTGCATGCACGTGCGCATGCGCACGTCCGTGTGTGTGTGTGTGTGTGTGTGTGTGTGTGTGTGTGTGTGTGTGTGTGTGTGTGTGTGTGTGTGTGTGTGTGTGTGTGTGTGTGTGTGTGTGTGTGTGTCCTGGAACTTGAACTCAGGGTCTGGATGCTGTCCTTGAGCTCTTTTGCTCAAGGCTAGTGTTCTGTCACTTGAGCCACAGTGCCACTTCTGGCTTTTTCTGTTTATTTGGTGCTGAGGAATCGAACCCAGGGCCTCAGGCATGCAAGGCAAGCACTCTACCACTGAGTCACCTTCCCAGCCCTCTCCAATTAATTTTCAGATAGCGTTTTTCTCAGGCTGCCAGTACCATGTTTCTCCAATTTTTGCTTTCTACCACTGCACCCAGCTTTCTTTGTTAAGATGATGTTCACAAACTTTGCTGCCTTGGGACCTTAATCTTGTCGCTCTCAGCCTCTCAAATGGCTGGAATGATAGGCATGTGCCACTTTGCCACTGACATGGAGGTCTCACAAATATTTTTCTGGACTAGTTTTGATCTAGCATCCTCCCAATCTTTACCTACTAAGTAAATAGGTAAAGTAGATAGGATTGCAAGTATTGAACCACCTGCCTTCTGCAGAAATGAAAACTCTTAGTACCCATTCCATTAATTTTCCTATTATTTTTGTTTCTTTTGACAGTAGTTATGCTTGAACTCAGGGCCTTGCAGTTGCTGGGCAGGTGGTATGTCACTTGAGCCAGTCTTTTTTGTGTGTGTTTATTGTTTTTGCAATACATATTTTTGCTTCCTGCTAGCAAGACTTTTAATCCTCTTGTATTTCTCTGAATCACTAGGATGGCAGGTACATGTTACCATGCCTAACTGCTGGTTGAGATGGAAACTTATAAACTTTGCTGCAAAGCTGGCCCTGATCTTTGCTTTCCAAGTAGCTAGAATTAGATTATTTTCCTAGTTATTATTTGTACAACTATACAAACTTCATAAAATAATATAATATATCATATATTATATTACAGACATACCTTCTAAACAATTATGGTAAATATGGGTTTCCGGGATGAAAAGTTTTAATTTCTTAAAGTTCAGTAAATACTACAATATTGCTCTGTGTGTGTGTGCGCGCACGTGTGCATGTGTACTTGAGTGTGTGCATGAACACACACACACACATATACCATCACTGGGGCTTGAACTTTGGGCCAGGAAACTTTCTATTAGCTTTTTGCTCTAGACTGGCGCTTTACCACTTGAGAGCCACATCTTCATTTCTCTTTTTGTTGATTAATTGGAGATACAGTCTCATGGACTTTTCTGCTCTGCTGTCTTCAAACTGTGATTCTCAGATCTTAGCC